GCTGCTGTGGGATGCAGCAAATAAGTAGAAATGGTCCCGAGGGCAGCCAGGTGGAACGTGACGGGTTATGAGCTGGAAACCCTGAATTCCATCGACCCCCTGTACTTCTTCAGTGCCATCATATGTGGGCACGTTACGGCCTGTGTATTTAAATCCCCCCACGCCCTCTGGGAGCAGGGCAGTTCTGTGGTACAAATGGGGAACTGAAGCACAGACGATGGGTCTGTCTACACTGTCCCCTGAACCTGAATCTGTGGGACCAGGGCTCTTGGACTTGGGATTCCTTGTGTGTCCTTACTCCATTGTGAACTTGGGTTTACAGCTGCTGGGCCGTGAGCTGTCAGCCCTGCGCTGTGGGGTCCTTGGAGCCAGGTCTTGTGGACTTGATGCCAAGTCAGACTGATTTGTGTGTGTATGGAAGGCAGCTTGGGCTCAAAGCAGTCAGGATCCAGGGTCAGAGTGCAGGGTAGACGTACCCTGGATACCTGGACCAAGGTCACACAGGAGCCGCTTCTTGACTCAGTCCCATGTTTGTGTCCCAACCATTGGACCATCCTTCCTGTCTGATGGCCAGGTGATATTGCTGTGGCTGGCAGCCCCGCAGTTCCTCTGAGGCCTGCAACGGAACTGTCCCCAGCCTTCCCGCTGTGGCGTCAGCCAGCACAGGCTCTGCACGGGGCTGGGCCACAGTGGAGCAAGTTGCAGCGCAGGTCCCAAGAGAATCTTTCAAACTGGCCCCAGAAAGCGCCAGAGAGCAGGTAGCCCTGAGTCACCCCTGACTCATGCTGGAGCTGGCTAGCCTGCTGGCAGCCTTCGGGCATCCCTGGTGCTTTGGGCTCTGTCTCGGTGCAGTGCCTCCTCATTCATTGCTCTGCAGCCATCTCATTCCAAGAGATTTACCTGCCGGAGAGTCATGCACCCGGGCAGGCCATGCCATGGCCTCCCAATTAACTCACAACATCCAGTGGCTCTGAGTGCACAGGGGCCCTCCCTTTCCTGATGCCAAGAGAGTCTCAGCAGCTGCTGTCCAGCCCCTCTGTGGTGGGAGGTAGGCATGCAGGGACACCAGGGACATGGCGATTGGGGGTGTCTGCTCCACTTTCACAGCTGCATTTTCCATCTCCTCCCGAGGCCAAATGCTACCTCCCATTTTATAGGAAAATATTTTAGCATCCCCCGCGGCTGAGATGTAGGTGATAACCAGTGAAGTTGTGAGACCCACCCTCCCTCCTCTCTCTGCCTAGGACTACCCGAAAAACCGACATCCTGGCTGGAGCAGAGGGTCTGTGGCCTACCATGCAGGTGAGCGAGGCAGGACTGGAACGTGGTGGGGAATCAGTCTCTGCCCCTTCCCAATCTAACCAGCTGGGCATGCACTCTCCTGGTACATCAGCATCATCCCTGGGCTGTCCCCAGCAAGCAGCTGTGCACACCACTTGGGAGATGGGAGAGTGTCAAGTCCCCAACGCTGGACACCAAGTTTGTAGTGGGGGAGTTTTCCAAAGCACCTAAGGGAATTGGGTTCATCAGTGCCTCTGGGGCTTGTGTGCCGAACACTTGGGGGAACTTTACGTCAAAGGGTCCAGGTTTCGTTCTGCTCTGGGGCAGACCTGGCTGTGGGATGTGGCATCTGGGGAGTCCGCAATTGGCAGCCTGCCTTTGCACTGTCAGAACATCAAGGCTGCCTGTTTTCAAGCTATCTGAGGAGTGTGGAGGCCTGGTGCTCATTTAGTTTCTAACAGGAACTCAACATCTCAGTCCCTCGGTGGGTTTGCAAATTGCAGCTTTCAGTCCCTCCTTTGAGGTTAAGGCCCAGCTTGAGAGGGGCCTGGCTGGGGTGATTTACTTAGGGTTGGTTCCGCTTTGACCAGCGGGATTTCTAGGATTGGTTTCCCATGAGGCCCCGGGTGTGCTCACAAAGTTATCAGCCAAGAACGCTGGTCAATGTTCTGTCCACAAGTAGTTCCAGTTGCTTACAGTCCCGCTTGTTACTGCTGCCACATGCGGCTGGTGCTGGATGGTGGCGATTCTCTTAGTTATGAGACTGCTTGTTCTCTGGGCCAAATCCAGCTGGACCTGCCACATGCCAGAGGGTCTCAGTTCATCTGCCTGTTGCCTTCCAGTCTTCTCACATCAAAGCTGCCCTGGCCTCTTTCTGCTGCCAGCCTCTCCCCTGGGTCCTTGATGCTGGCTTCTGCCTGCTTTGAACTGCAGCCCACGAAGAGCAGCGAGTCCTGAGTAGGTTGCTAAGTCCCCACTCCTGCCTATCTGCTCATGGAGCCACAGGGAGGATGGTTCTCATCCAGCCCCTCTGTGGAAGCTTGGCCCAAACACTGAGGGCTGCAGACACCTTCCCCCTCCCAGGGCTCTTGGCAAGAGGTTGAAATGAAGCTGGCTCTTGTGTTGCTCACAGCGAAAGCCCAAGGGAGCAGGTGGTGCCTTGCAGCACTAGGCCCCTCAGGCAGAGCAGGGAGCAGCAGGTTGGACTCCCTGCAGCCTCCTTTCCAGAGAGGGTCAGGTGAGGTTCAGTGGCCTGCAATGTGCAAGAGGACAGATTAGATGAGCAGGGTGGTCCCTGCTGGCCGTCATCTCCAAGTGCAGTGAGATCTGAGCTTTCCCTCATGGTGCTCTGTCCTCCGCACTAGGCCAGGAGGGGCTGGCAAGCCAGTCCAGCTTGTCAAGACTGGGGTTCTCTTTCCGGCCTTGGGCTGTAACCCTGGCCTCCACCTGGGCCCTGTCAGCTGGGAAGGGGCTACAGGCATGTGAAACAGCTGTCCTCCTGTAGCTGCTCTCACCAGCGTGCTCCCCCAGCTGTGAGCTAAGTGCTGCTGGGTAAAGGGGGAGATTGTTCCTGTCACCTTTGGCCGCTGGGGCTCGGTACAGCAGCAGTTCTCAACACCTGGCCTACAGGCTGCATGCAGCCCAGTTAGCACACGGCTCTGGCTGCCCAGAATGGCAGGGTCCAGGTGGCTCTGCCTGGCCTGACGGGGATATGGTCACCAGCCATCCCCAGGCAGTAGGAATCTGGGGCTGTGCCCTTCAGGGTGGGGAACCAGGGCTACCACCTGGGCCAGGCCAGCCCAGCAGAGGGCAAGGGCTCCCAGCTGGTTCCACAAGATTGAGGGTCTGGGGCTGCCTGCCAGCTAGCCCTCCCAAGCTCCAAGGTTCATGCTTTAGCTCTGCATAGCAGGAGTCCAGGCTCTGGGACTCCCGGCCAGCCCCTTGGAATCAGGGGTCCTGGCTGCGGGGCTGCTGCCCAGCCCCACAAGGTCAGGTGCACATAACCACACAACTGAATATCGAAGGAGCCGCCTGGCAAGTCAAAGCCGCAGCTGTCTGCGCAGCTCCCCTGCTACCTCCTCCTGCCAAGGCTCGGCCATGTGTTCAGGAATAGGATGTGGCTAGCCCAGCAGTGGAGCTCGGAGTAGTATTTTTATTCTGCATGGCACATAGGGGAACTGAGGCACAGGGTGGCGATGTGGCTTGCCCCGTGTCATCCTGCAGGCCAGGGGCAGAGCTGAGACTAGAGCCCAGGTCTCTTGAGTCCGAGTCCAGCGCTGCAGGCAGGAGTTTTACAGCCAGCAGTACATGGACGTTGTCAACATCTCTGCTTGAGCCACCCCATTCGGGAGCCTCGTTGCCACTGTCTAGTGGTGCTGGGGGTTGTCTGCCTTCTTGCTGTCCCTGGTCTAGCTTAGCCCTTCAGTCTTGGCTCCTTGCAGCAGATCTGACTGGGGAACAGTGGATGCTGTCTCGACCCATGGTGACCCAGCGAGGCCTGGTCATGTGATCCTACCGGGTCCTCTGGCTCCAAGATGACCAGGCTGGAAGGCCTGGGGACCAAGCCTGCTGGGAGTCTCCTTCCCCCATGTTTGTGTTCCCTTCTGCGGGCAGTCTGACCTCCTGGGCCACGCTCCCTTTGTCTGATTCAGGGTTTTATTTTCTGTCTGACTTTTCTCTCTGAAGGGGAAGCTGTAAACGTTTTTGGTTCCTGGCATTTTCTTTCCAGTGTTCAGCGCCAGGGGAACATTCAGATTCCTGTCCAAGTATTCGATCTGCTGCCTCGCAGGGCATTCCACTTTCCTTAGCTGGCCACTTCACCTTCCTCCTCCTCCACCTCTTCCTGGAAAAATTCTCCTGCTGCCTGTTCTCCCCTCGTGCTGCCCAGCCTTCCAGCGCCAGCTGCTGCTCCGCGCTGCCATAACCTCTGGCAGACACAGGCACTCCATGAAACCACAATAAAGCCACTCGCTGGGGACTGGCCAGGCGGTAGCGCTGGCCTGGGAGCCCTAGCTGGGAGGCAGCGCTGCAGCTGGGCGAGAGCGTCTCTGACCCGCTCAGGCGGTGGCTACGTGGAAGAGGGCCCATGTCGATGGGAGTGGGAAGAAGCAAAGGGCAGGAACCCAGCTCTAAACTGCCTCTTGGGTTCCTGCTTATTGCGTGGACCTGTCCTTCCGTCTCTGCTGCTCTCTCCCCCAGAGGGGAAGGTAATCGCCCACCCAGCTCCCAGGCCTCCAGTTTGTGGCTGGCTGGCTGGGAGGAATCTCTCGTTTTGCTGTCCGAGTGCCTGGGTCCTGCTCTCCTCTCTCTCCTGGGTGCAGTGCTGTTGCCCGGGCCTCGTTTTTCACAGCTTTGTGCTGATGGCACCTAGCTGTCTGAGATGCTCCCCTGCCCATCTTCCTGGGGCTGCAGCTGGCGTGAGCTGAGGGCTTGGTTGCGGGAGGTCTTCATGGAGCCAGCTGCCCCGTGACTCAGTCACAAGCAGCTCCTGGCTCACTTTCGGGCAAGGTGTTCCATGCAGTGGCCTTTTACCTTCTTTGCCTGTTGTTCTCCCCCTCCCCCTCCCCCCAGCTGTGAGCACCCCCAGAGCAGCCGGTGGGTATTGCAGCCGGGTGCCACAAGGCCGGGCCAGCTGCCAGACAGTCCAGCATGAGGGGCAGCAGGCAGCCACTGCAAACCACTTGTGGCCAAGTTTCCTAGCTCCCCTTGGCCACATCGTTCCTTCCCCAGCAGCCCCAGGCTGTCCCTTGTGGCTCCCCCCCCCCCCCCCCCAGCTTGCTTTTTAGCTGGAGCTCAGCTGCCTGGCCAGCAGCCCTAGCACAGTCTGAGTTGGATCTGGTGAGCCAGCTGGCTGGGGGCCTGGGCCTGCGTAACTGGCTGAGGCTGCAGCACGATTCAGGGTGTTGGGAAGCAACAGACCTGGGTTCGAGGCCCTGCTCTGACTTGACCCGCTTGGTGACCTTGGAGAAGCCCCTGCCCCTGGCTGTGCCTCAGTTTCCCCTCCTGCTCTTTGTATCACCTGCAAGCTCTTTGGGGCAGAGGAACTGGGTCTGGGCCCATGCTGCCCTGCTTCCACTTGGGGCTGATAGAAAAACTAAGCAACAAAGAGCCATTTCTCTGAGGGCGCCCAGGGCTCCTGCACCACTCTACTGCCCCATGCAGTCCTGGGCCTTCCATCACCAGACTTAGCCCGAAGGCTGCTCCCTATGCTAGCAGCACGGTGGTGCCGGCAGTGTCCAAGGGCTAGCCACCCTCCGGGCCTCGCTGGGCTCACGACATTGGCCTGCAAAGAGCACGTCAGCCGGGGTTGCTCTGAGCCTGGGCAGGGTGCAGGGCAAGGAAGGATTCCGGCCTACCTCTGAGAGGAGGGGGAGGTGGGATGGGATGTGGTGGGTCATGGGGGTAGGTGCAAGGAGCCAGGGGTAGCAAGCTGGGTAGCTGCTGCCCTGGCTGCAGAGGACAAGGATCTGGGTCTGCTGGGGGGTCTATCTGAGATGGCTGGTGGGCAGGAAAATGTCCAGGGGCCTGGTGCAGAGGAGTCAGGGCTCCGTGCCACGTGGCATGGAGGGCTGGGTTAAGGCCCTAGGGCCCTGCTCCATGCCTGCTTTGGGTCTCTGCGTCTCTCCAGCTCGTGGTCACTTATGGGCCCTGTTGCTGGCCCTGCCCCGCCTGTGGCAGGGGGCAGGGAATCCCCTACAAGGCACGCTGGCTCTCTGCTGGTGACGCACAGGAATGTGCGCACAGTATAATTCCCAGCTTGGGTTTCTCTGGCAACGGGAAGAAATATTTACTGCCCCTTCACTGGATGCATCTCCCTTATTTGCTGAAACAGCCAGCCCGAGGCCCCGCCCTCTGCCTGGCCCTCGTGGCCCCTTGGCCCACATCCACGAACGAGCCGCATGGCCGGGAGGCATGGCCACCCTTCACAGAGCCTTGCACACATGCGGCTTCTCTCCCTGCCCCCGTTCAGTGGGTGGCCCTGGTGCAGCAGCTTCGTGCCACAGCCGTCTAGACTAGATGCTGAGGTCTCTGAGCACATGATCAGTCTGCAGATGGGGGAATTGGGGTTGGCAAGGGAGCTGATAGGGCAGGGCTGAGGGGTTAAAAGCAAAGGGCAGGTGCCTTTGTGCCCTCTCCCTGGCCTGCAGGAACATTGGCACTGGCTCTGCAATTCAGTCTGGGCATAGGGCAGGCCCCTCGAGAGGGGAGGGTGGTTGCAGCCCATCCCTGTGAATATGCCTGTCACTCTCCCAGCTGCTAGGGATGGGCCCGGGTCAGCACAGTCCCTCCTGCGCCCATGCTGCGATAGCTCGCTGCCTCCAGCTGGTACGGGCCCATGGCAGCAGGAAACCTGCACATCTGGGTGCATCCCCTTCTCTCCTCCACACAGCAAAGGGCCCAGATTCTCTGGACAGCCACTTCCCCTGGCCCTGGAAAGTCCAACGAGCTACATGCCTGTTTGCAAGTCCCCAGCCAGCAGCCTGCCTGCAAGCCAGCCTGCTCTCTGCATCGAGCCCCTCTCCGCCTGCTAGCTTGTGCTGTGTTCTCCCAGTATGAGCCTCACAGTGCCAGTGGAGGCTGGGAGCTGGCCAGCTGCATGGCCTGCCTGTCTGGGGGGAGCTGCACATGACCGAGTCCAGGGCATCCTCTCTCTCCCTGAGGAGCAGCCATGTGGCATCGCTCTCCTTCTTGAGACGTCCTGCCAGGCCCACCGTGCTTAGCAGCCTCTCCTTTGCCTTCCAGATGATGGCAAGATCTTCCACGGGAGCGGTGTGGGTGACCCCTTTGGGCCACGGTGCTACAAGGGTGACATCATGGGCCTGCACATGACCGAGTCCAGGGCATCCTCTCTCTCCCTGAGGAGCAGCCATGTGGCATCGCTCTCCTTCTTGAGACGTCCTGCCAGGCCCACCGTGCTTAGCAGCCTCTCCTTTGCCTTCCAGATGATGGCAAGATCTTCCACGGGAGCGGTGTGGGTGACCCCTTTGGGCCACGGTGCTACAAGGGTGACATCATGGGCTGCGGGATCATGTTTCCACGGGACTACATCCTCGACAGTGAAGGTGCGTGGCCGGGGTAGGTGCCTCACCCAGCCCCCCAGCTGAATGGCTTGGCTGGGGCTGGCCTGGGGACCTCAGGTTTAGTCTTGTAGCAGTGAGGGCTGCGCCCAGAACCTGCTGCAACGAGACTCCGAGTAGCAGAGAGGCAGCGTGGTCTAGTGGTAGCTTCAGGGGCCAGGGTGCTGTTTCTGGCTGTGTCGAGTCGCTCCAGCCTAGAGAGGGTTATCTGGTAGCCTGATTGCTAGGCAGTGCTGTCGATGAAGGGGGTGTTTCAGGCCGGTTCTGAGCAGAGAGCGTATGGTAGCAGGTTCTGGGAGCCTGTAGTGCCCGTCAGGAATGAATCCGGATTGTGTCTCCAGGGAAGCCGTTGGTGGGACTGGAACCTGGAGCCCCTGCATATAGGTGCAGGAACCACTGCTGCATGAGGCAAAGGGCCCAGCCTGTTGTAGAGACCTCAGTGGCAATGGGCCCTCTAATCATTTCATTCATGTGCGGAATGAATTCTATGTGCACCACCATTAGAAACACACTCCCAGCTGTGGGCGCTCTGCTAATCAGCATCCTCTCCTGGGTGGCTCTCAGGGAATGCTAGCTAGCAAGCGCTCAGCCGGCGGTGTGTGGTGCAGCCGCTGGAGGGGGTCCTGCCAGGGGCACGGCTCACCCCTGGGGTGATGTGGCTCCCCAGGCGACAGTGACGACAGCTGCGACACCGCGGATCTGAAGCCCAAGCTGCGGGGTGTGCGGAATGTCATGTACCTGCACCAGGAGGCCGAGGAGGAGGAAGAGGAGGAGGAAGAGGACGTGGAGGAGATGGAACAGGAGCACGAAGGGAAGAAAGTGGTGGTAAGAGCTGGGCCTTGTCGGGACCTAGCTGGGACTTGTGCCATGGGGATGGGGTGAGGCTGTTCCGCGGGGTGGTTTGAGGGGGGCTTAGACAAAGAAGGGGCCATATCCTGGGGCTGGGGTGGTTCTAGGGAGGGACGTGGTGGGGGTAGGAGGACAGACCAGGGGCACAGTTGAGCGATGTGCCACGGGACCAGAATGGCTGGGGACGACGACATGGTGGATATGCCTGGGGGATGACTCGGGGGGGAATGTTCAGGGTGATCCAGAGGGGACATGTCGAGGGGTAGTTCCAGGCCCTGGGGCTGGAGGGATTTGGGCGGGGGGAAGAGAGCAAGGTCCCTCTGGGATCCAGAGGCCCTGCCAAGGGTGACTGGGTGGCTCTGTCCGGGGTGTGCGACACTTGGGCACCGTTCGCATGCTGCTTCTCCCTGCGGAGCTGGAGTCGATTGGAACTGTCCGGGCAGTGCCCAGCCCCTGAGAGCGCCCAGCTGGCCTCTGCCCCCGCAGCCCCTTTGCCCTGCTGGGTAGGAGCCAGTGGGATTGCCTTGGCCTGAGGCGCCCCCTTGTGCCTGTTGCCAGCAATGCTCTCCCGTTCCAGGTTGTGCCACGAGGAACCAGCTTTCCTAGCCCCACGCCCAGCCACACCTGGCTCTGTGGCCCGCTGGTGGGGCTGGGACTGGCTGGGTAGGGTCCCCCTGGCTGGCTGGCTGGCCTGCCTGCCCTTCCACCCTGTGCTGAGCTGTCATACTCGCCTGCTGGGGGCGCTCAGCCTGGGAAGGTTCCTGTCCTAAGGGGCCTTCTCCCCAGGCTTTCCAGCTCCTGCAGGGCATGGGGTGGCTACAGCAGCAGCCTGGGGCACACCAGAGGTTTGTGGGGTCTTCGTTTAGCAGAGGCCAGGCTGCAGAAAGTGTCCATCTGGGGGTGCAGTGCATGCTGGGAGCATCTCCGCAGACAAAGGGGCAGGTACCAGTGACCACTGCAGATCTGGGCACCTCCCAGTGAGGAGCCCCATGCCATGGCAGTACTAGGGTGGGGGGCCGTGTGGGGCGGAGGACAGGCCATGCTTTGGCAGTGAAGGGGTTAACTGTACGGCGCCGGCCTGTCTCCCCAGGTGTTCTTCACACGCAACGGGAAGATCATTGGCAAGAAGGATGCGGTGGTGCCAGGTGGCGGCTTCTTCCCCACCATTGGGATGCTGAGCAGCGGGGAGAAGGTCAAGGTGGATTTACATCCCCTCAGCGGCTAGGAGATCGGGGCGGGGGAGTATCCCACCCACTGCTCGCTCTCAGGGCTGGCCCCAGGACTGTCTTCGTCATTCTGATCCCTTGCACTTTGAGCCTCTGCCTGCAGGGGGCAGCGCTTTGTTGCCCGTGCCACATGTATTATCCCGTCTGGCTCCACGCCGAGCCCTTCTCTGCCCTGGCCCCTAGCAGGCTGCAGCGGGGACAGTGTGGGGCTGGGGAAGATCCTAGCACTGCCCCGGCAGCATGGGCAGGCTCCTGGTGTCACAACGTCCCAGGCTTGGGGCCCAGTCTGTCCAGCCCAGGTGCAGAGAGGGTGCAGCCTGCAGCCCAATTCCCACCCCCTCCCCCAGCCGGTGAGATTCCTCTGCTTGAATTTCCTGTCTGGCTGCAGCTCTCCTACAGGGATCTCCATGGCTGGCACCTGGCCTGAGCACCAGCCTGACCTGTGCCATCTCCTGTCCCATCAGCCCCAGCTGCAGTGTTGCCCCTTTCGGGCCCCTCCCCTTACCATAGATGGTGTTACGGCCCCGTGGCCTTTGGATGGAGCTGTGCCTTCTGCCTGCCTCAGCTTGGCTTGCCCTGGCCAGAGAGAGGTAGGAGGAGACCAGGCACCTTGCAGACAGGGCTCTGGGCCCTTGAAGCCTCTTCCTGCTGTCCTGACGGCCCCAAGCCCCACCCCACATGCTAATGAACCATACCCCAGGCATCCTCCTTTGCCCCTTAGGCCAATGCCTGCGCCCTCCCAGCTGTCTTATGTTGCCTTCTTCCTCCCTCTGCGATCAGGGGTTAGGGGGTCAGGGCAAGCAAATGCTGGCTGCTGTGGGCCCTGGCGCTGGGTCAGGCTGGTAGAGGGGATGGCGCCACGGTCAGCAGACCTTCCCACAGGGAACTGAGAAATGGGCCCAAGCCAGCTGCCTTCTCCAGCTCCTGGACTGCAGCCTGACTCCCATCCTAGGGAATGCCAGGCCTCTGGGGCTCCACCTGCCATGTCGTGACTCCCAGAGGCCACTAGACCTGATCAGAGTCCCCCCCGCCCCTTCGCAGTCACCCGTCTCCCCCTCCCACCCCGTTCACACTCGTGGGGCACGTCGCCGACACACGCGCCCGCGTCTCCCTCTCCCTCCCCCGTTGGCAGTCGTGGGGCACGTCGCCGACACACGCGCCCGCGTCTCCCTCTCCCTCCCCCGTTGGCAGTCGTGGGGCACGTCGCCGACACACGCGCCCGCGTCTCCCTCTCCCTCCCCCGTTGGCAGTCGTGGGGCACGTCGCCGACACACGCGCCCGCGTCTCCCTCTCCCTCCCCCGTTGGCAGTCGTGGGGCACGTCGCCGACACACGCGCCCGCGTCTCCCTCTCCCTCCCCCGTTGGCAGTCGTGGGGCACGTCGCCGACACACGCGCCCGCGTCTCCCTCTCCCTCCCCCGTTGGCAGTCGTGGGGCACGTCGCCGACACACGCGCCCGCGTCTCCCTCTCCCTCCCCCGTTGGCAGTCGTGGGGCACGTCGCCGACACACGCGCCCGCGTCTCCCTCTCCCTCCCCCGTTGGCAGTCGTGGGGCACGTCGCCGACACACGCGCCCGCGTCTCCCTCTCCCTCCCCCGTTGGCAGTCGTGGGGCACGTCGCCGACACACGCGCCCGCGTCTCCCTCTCCCTCCCCCGTTGGCAGTCGTGGGGCACGTCGCCGACACACACGCCCGCGTCTCCCCCTCCCACCCCCGTTTGCAGTCGTGGGGCACGTCGCCGACACACACGCCCGCGTCTCCCTCTCTCACCCCCGGTTGCAGTCGTGGGGCACGTCCCCGACACACACGCCCGCGTCTCCCTCTCTCACCCCCGGTTGCAGTCGTGGGGCACGTCCCCGACACACACGCCCGCGTCTCCCTCTCTCACCCCCGGTTGCAGTCGTGGGGCACGTCCCCGACACACACGCCCGCGTCTCCCTCTCTCACCCCCGGTTGCAGTCGTGGGGCACGTCCCCGACACACACGCCCGCGTCTCCCTCTCTCACCCCCGGTTGCAGTCGTGGGGCACGTCCCCGACACACACGCCCGCGTCTCCCTCTCTCACCCCCGGTTGCAGTCGTGGGGCACGTCCCCGACACACACGCCCGCGTCTCCCTCTCTCACCCCCGGTTGCAGTCGTGGGGCACGTCCCCGACACACACGCCCGCGTCTCCCTCTCTCACCCCCGGTTGCAGTCGTGGGGCACGTCCCCGACACACACGCCCGCGTCTCCCCCTCCCACCCCCGTTTGCAGTCATGGGGCACGTCACCGACACACACGCCCGCGTCTCCCCCTCCCCCCTCCCGTTTGCAATCATGGGGCACGTCACCGACACACACGCCCGCATCTCCCTCTCCCACCCCCGTTTGCAATCATGGGGCACGTCACCGACACACACGCCCGCATCTCCCTCTCCCACCCCCGTTTGCAATCATGGGGCACGTCACCGACACACACGCCCGCATCTCCCTCTCCCACCCCCGTTTGCAATCATGGGGCACGTCACCGACACACACGCCCGCATCTCCCTCTCCCACCCCCGTTTGCAATCATGGGGCACGTCACCGACACACACGCCCGCATCTCCCTCTCCCACCCCCGTTTGCAATCATGGGGCACGTCACCGACACACACGCCCGCATCTCCCTCTCCCACCCCCGTTTGCAATCATGGGGCACGTCACCGACACACACGCCCGCATCTCCCTCTCCCACCCCCGTTTGCAATCATGGGGCACGTCACCGACACACACGCCCGCATCTCCCTCTCCCACCCCCGTTTGCAATCATGGGGCACGTCACCGACACACACGCCCGCATCTCCCTCTCCCACCCCCGTTTGCAATCATGGGGCACGTCACCGACACACACGCCCGCATCTCCCTCTCCCACCCCCGTTTGCAATCATGGGGCACGTCACCGACACACACGCCCGCATCTCCCTCTCCCACCCCCGTTTGCAATCATGGGGCACGTCACCGACACACACGCCCGCATCTCCCTCTCCCACCCCCGTTTGCAATCATGGGGCACGTCACCGACACACACGCCCGCATCTCCCTCTCCCACCCCCGTTTGCAATCATGGGGCACGTCACCGACACACACGCCCGCATCTCCCCCTCCCACCCCCGTTTGCAGTCGTGGGGCATTTCACCGACACACACGCCCGCGTCTCTTTCTCCCACCCTGCCCTCCCTCTCCTTTTGGGGCTTTTGGCTCATGGCAGTGGTTCTTACTACACTGGGCAGGCGGGTGAGGTGTGGAAGTTGGGGGAAGTGTCTATTCAGCACCTGCCCCAGAGCTCCCACATGCCCCTCCTAATGCTGGTCCTGCCCTGCTGCCAGTGGGGGAGGGGTGGATGGTGACTCAATCCACCTGGGCCCCACCAAGGAGGGCGCACGGGACAGCCCAGTGTCTCAGCTCGGCTACAGGGAGCAAGGAGGGTTGCTCTGATCAGGGCCGAGTGAATTCAGGGGGCATGTGAGGGCTCGTTGGCAGCTAGTGTTGGGGCAGCTGCCTTTGCTCCTCTCCATGGCTCCTGGTGGGATGCTGTGGCCAGGGCCTCTCCCAGCCACACTGCCCCAGCCTGCGCAGCTGGAAACTCCTGGGCCTGTGGGGAGGTGTCTGTGAGGATGGCCGTGGGGCAGGCTGTGGCCCTGGGGCTGCGCGCACACAGGGCCAAGGTGCTTGTGCTGCTTTTGCTTAACTGTTACCAGCTCTTGTGGAGTGTAAAACTCTGTCTCCCCCCTGCCCTGCCTTTGTGAACCCTCAGCCCAGGTCAGGGTGCAGCCCTTAGCTGCTAGGCAGAGATCAGCTGGCCAGGTAGGGGCTGCCAGGGGAGGGCACAATCCAGTGGCTTGGGACCCTGTTTGGGGCTGATCTCCCTGGCCCCTCCCCTTGTCTGGATGGGAGCTGCTGCTAGCTGCGAATCCTGGACTTTGTGCCTAGGGGGAATTGAGTGTTTTGAACCAGCCAGGGTGAGATGCCCAGTCTGTGCTCTCCATCCTTCACGTCTGTACATACCGAGATCTTTATATGTGCTCACTAAAGATGGCGTTTCCATATTTATCTGTGTCTGGCTCCTGGTGTCTTTTGCCCTGCGTGGTGCCACCTCTGGCTGGCTTTGAGGCGTGATGGCCAGCCAGGACTGTGGCAGACAGCTGGGTCATGGGCAGTGGATCAGGCTGGATCAATTCAAATCAACAGTTTAAATCCTGACTTGAATCACCAAGCAGAAAGTCAGTGTTAATCATCGATTTGAATCCACTTCTCCTTGTGCTCCAGAAAGGTGCATTTGTATTAGCTTGTGGAACCATTCAAACGGGTTGCGTTACAACTGACCAGCACTTTGACTCTGGATTTGGTCCATCTTTTGCTGGCTAGGAGGGCACACTAGAGGCATTTCATTAAGCAGTTACAACGTTGAATGTTTTGACTCTTATTACCTACTTTTTTAGTACGATAGAAAATGGTGAATGAGCTATTGCATATTTACCAGCTAATTCACTTTGGGGTTTTTCTGGGATGGCAGAGGTATCCCAGAAAAACTCCACTGTGTCCAGAGAATGCGACTGCTCTTCTGGCATTTTTTGCGGAAGAGCAGACACGCTCTTTCAGAAGCCCTGTCCTCCTCGTGCCACAAGGAAGAAGGGCTCTTCCAGAAGAGGAGGTTTTTTCCAAAATTTGGCCCAGTGTTGACAGGCCAAATTTCGGAAAAGCCTCTTCCGACAAAACTATCAGAAAAAGGTAGGCAAACTGCGGCGTGCCATTTGCGAACCTTTCTCCGATAAAAAGCGGCAGTGTAGACATAGCCTTTGTGTGGCAAGCTGCATTAGGGTGGTAACTGGCATTTCCTTAAGTGCATAAAACTGCAGAGGAACTTTATTTTCGTTAAACAAAAACAACCCTTAGTGCAGATCCTACTGTTCGCAGCATGCCCGCCAAAGTTACGTGCCCCTCCTTCCCCGAGTTATTCCATGGTAACAGCACCTTTTAATGCCGAGTTTTTGCAAGCAGTTCAGTACTTGTGATGTCAGTATTTGCAGAGAGTAGAAGCAGTTTAGACCTTCACATGTTTTGTATTAAATTCAAGTATTTTAAAAAGAAAACAGTATAATTTAAATAGCAATTTAATTGTTTGTTTGTTTGTTTCCTGCCCTGTGGAGGATCCTGCTGAGTATGACTGATTTGCTGCCCTGCTTGATCCTGGCTCTGTGTCTGTCAGGGCATCTCTGGCTTCCCCTTCTTCCCAAGGCTACTAGAGCATGCCCTAAACCAGGGTCCTGTCTAAATCAGGCTGAGCCAAGACACACACACAGACCCCCCCTGTAACTGCTGCATCCTGCAGTGGAACCATCCCAGAGAGGCCCCACGAGGAATGAGCTACTGCAGGCACAC